ATTTTTTCACAAGAAACAAAACTTTATGAGGAAGCACAAAGAAAATTAATGTAACTTTCTCAAGATCCTCAAAATGCAAAAGAAGCAAACACAAATTTCAATCAAAAATATAGTAAACATGTATTAAAGAAAAAAAATTAAAAAGTACACACTTACGTGGGAAGGTACGCTTTTCGTAAATTCTTACAGTTAGCGAGAACGTTAATATACTGCGAAACGTTAATATCGTTAAATCCTGGAAGATCAATGTGCTGTAAACGTATTACTTCCAAGTTAGGACACAATTTTATAAACTGTGTTACACAGTCTGTTATATATGGACCTCCAATATTGAACTCACGCATTCGTTGATTTTTTTGCAGTATTTTATAAAGGCATTCATCTTTTATACATGTATCATAAAGACTTAAATGTTCCAAACCATTTAATTTCTCTAGATACGAAAATCCTTCGTCGTCTATGCCACGACAATCGTCTAGATTCAATTCTAAAAAGAGATATATGTTGGGCATATACAATTTACCAATAATCCCGACAATCACATGTTTCATGTATTTTATATGTACTTATATTTAGATATATACCTTTCAAATTTACACATATCTCTGAAATTTTAAGTAGGACAAGATTATTGACAGAATTGTTGCAGAATCCTAATCTTAAGTGCGTTAAACGCCTGCCACAATTGTCAAGAAAGTTTGTAAAATCCGCAACATCAAACGTGCTTTCTGTAAGATCTAACTGCTGCAAATATTTACATCTAGATGTAAAGTAACATAATATATTGCTCATATCGCGTCTTGCGATATTTTGGGGAATATACTCTGCGGCAGCTGGATAGTGTATATTCAAACGTGTATAAAGATGAGGGTCTCGTATTAAACCATTGAAGCGTCTGTTTACATAATTCAAGCGGCATAACGTCATCAGATCCAAGTTTTTTAATATTATTAGTAGTATTTCATCCTGCAAAGATAAAATATAAAACTTTAATACACGAGATGATATTGCAATAAATATTATGAAAAATAGGCTTCTTAGAATACTTTACAGGAAGCTCAGATATATTGTGACGTGACAGCTCCTTGGATTCATCCGAAGAGAGTTTTATAGGTTTTGCACAATTCGAATGATGAATTACCTCCAGAGATACATTTTTGTGCATCAAATTCTCTCTCAAAATACTCTCCTTAGAAACCCTTCTTATGTAGCTGCAAATAACATCGGAACAAATTCATTTTTATTATTAACAGAACAAAGAGATTTTAATATTACTTAATGTTGATAATAATACCTTCCATCCCTACAATATTCCATTATAATGCAATATTCAGAAAAATGTCGTTGCAGATAATCTATATCCAAGTGTGCATTTTTGAAATCTGCTGTTAAATTATGAATATCCTCATGGTGTGGAAAGTACATGCAGTTAATTTCCTTTAACAGATTAGTTAAACTCTTCTGATATTTTCTAGGACGAACCAACTCTGATGTACCGATAAGCATCACAGCATCTAGCTTTGTGTAAAGATGAGACATTTCAAAGGAACTGTCTTCAAAAAATATTCTTAGCATTTTCGTTTTAAAGTCACGCGGGTGTGATAAGGGTGGAGAAAATAATCTTGATGTCGGGGGTACAATCCATGTAACATCAGTTTTCCCCCATTCAAACCTATTATTAGAATCAATCTCAGAATTGAGATTTTTAGAATCAATTTCCCACAATTTATACCACTCATTATTAGAATCATCTTGAGCCGAAATTTGAATTACGTTTCCATCAGGTCTGTACCTGTACATTTCGTATATAGAAACTCTGATTGGATATACAGCTTCATGAAACTCGATATCTTCAAAAAAGAAAATATAATTATACTCTCTTCTCAACAAAACCGTATCTTCTTTAACAATATCTTACTTGTGAATTCAGGTATCACATACCAATATATTTATTTTCGATCGGTCTTTTAAATTCATACAATGGCGGACATAGTATATAATAATCATTTGTCATGGATTCTTCGTATTGCCACTGAGTTATTGAAATGTCGATATCATTATTCCATCGATTCTGTTTTGAAAAGTCAAAATGTATCAAATAGTAGAAAAAAATCTTGTAGCATATAAATTTAGATTCCGATTACTTTGTATAGGACAATATAACGGATAATACACATACTATGAAATATGTTTCTCCATTGAAACACGAAGAATAAAATAGGATAATTATTTAGTTTAGAGGAGCAACCTTCTACGACCTTGACCTTGACATATATATTATGGGGAGCACTCTCCTGAGTAACCTTCCAAAGGTTTTAGCCGTCGTTCGTTATTTATTAAAACGTTATTAACAAAAAAGTTTGA